AAAGGGCTTGTGAAGTCACAGGGCCCCCAGTGACTTGAGGCTCTCTGTTTGGATACCAAATGGCCATGGGGCCTTGGGTGTGCTGGGTCGCTCCCCTGGGCCAGTGCCTCCTCGTCGGTACCGAGAAGGAGGTGACCACTGATCCCGTTAGCCTGCAGAATTCTTTGACTTCCATCACCCAGAGAAAAGAAGGCCCCAAATGGAAACATTTTGTGAGGACGTAGAGATGGACTCAGGAATCTCAGTTATCTGTTTGATTTTTTCTATCCAGAGCTTTTTCTCTAACCAAGATCTTGGTTCTACCACCATACATCAAATATAGAGATGCCTTCCAGAAATACAAACAAATGGGGTCTCAGATTATACCATTTGTTGTTTGTCAGCATCTCTGTCTTGTAGTCTAATTTATAGGGCTGGCTTGAAATGGAAGTAAAGGAGAAAGAATCTGAAGCAGGAATATGGCTAAGTGCGCCCCTTTACAGAATGACAGATCCTCCCTCCTTGGAGAAGGATGCCCTGGATGTTGAGTCATTGTGGCATGCTCTCTGGTCATGCCCGTCACTGCTGAAATACCTTGTTAGGAGAAGTTGTTCCTAAGCCAACGTGTTCCTAGTTTTCAGGATTGTGTAAAGATTAGAAGAAATACTTAGTAGCTTTGGATTTTAATAAGATTTAAAGAGTAATTGGAGAATTTGTCTCCCTTGATGATTGTGGAGCCTGTGAAGGTAGCTCTGCTGAGTCATATTACATTGCGCTTATTCTTTTGAGTGGGTGTTGGGAAAGGAAATTTATAGTGGGAACTTATTTAATCAATTCCTTTTTCTAGAAGGAACTCTGATTCCTAGCTTAAAGTAAGACACACTGACTATAGAATCATAAAGACAGTGTAACAGAATGGACTTAATGCTCTCAGAAGAGATGTCTTTTCTCCTGCCATATGGTTAGGGAAACTAAATATGGTTTTTCTGGGAAAACACATGAAAACTGTGTTTCTGGGATATGAAGTATCTAGTTTCTTCTGTTGTTGTTTGTTTTGTTTTTTTTTTTGCACCGTTAGAGAACAAGAAAAGATGTTAATAAGATTTTAAAGATAGCTGCCTTCTATCTCTAAATGGACTCTTCCTCACTGCAGAGAAAATTAGTGTGTGTTGGTATCTCCAAGTCTGTCACCAGGATCCACGTTTAAGTTTGGTTTCTAAGTCCTTGAAAGCCGTTGACCCCTTTGCTTTTGAGTTTCATTCACCAGCTAAAAGGCCACGCATCAGGGTGGGGGAAGTGGGCTTGGAAAAATGCGGATTTATAATCAGCTTGGGGTCTCGGAGGATTTGTGAAATCATTTTGGATTAACAGCCATTGATTGCTAATAAAACAATATTTAGCTTTGTCCAGAGAACAGCAGTGGAGAAAGATATGGGCACCTTGTCAACAGGGCCCATTGAACAGGGGTGACGGGCTAAGTGTGGGGGTCTCTGCAGCAGCGTGGGTGCTCGTCCTTCACGGGGCCGTTGTCAGTTGTTAGCCAGGCCCGTGAAAGGAAGGACGCCAGAGTCTGATGGCTAGGGTGGTATTGATGTGCTTTAGCTGACTAATCAGATTGAAAAAGTCCCATGGCACTTATGTCACTTTAATTTTCATCAAACAATTGGAGATGGCAGGACTCTATTAAGGAGAGGTTGATCCAGAACTAAAGCCAAATAAATTAGGGTCTCAGTTTAATCAAATTACCCCTTTACTGGCCCTGGATTAAGCGAGAGAGACAGCGTCGGTCCAGGGACTTGTGATTGGCTGAATCTTTCCTTTATTTTTAAAGAAGCTGATGAAAGAAAAAAAGCATTTTAACAGAGACACGATGATAACGCTTCCAAGAAAGAGTGCCAAACAGCAGCAGCAACGAAGAGGAATTTATTTCACTAGTCAGCGCTGTGATTTCATTGTGAATAACAGAGCTGGGCTCGAAATCAGAGTTTGGGGATTCCTCCCGCACACGTAAAATCTCAATTCGGAGAACGGCTCTGAGGAGGCTCACGTCCCTTTCTCAGGAGGAGCAGAGCAGTAAACTCGGTTCGCTTCACACGGGTGTGAAAGAGCCGCATCGGGAGCTGCAATCAGTGTGTAGGCGAGTCTGCTGCGAGGCTCGAATGTGCAAGTGTACAACACGGAAGGAGGTGGTGGTGATGTGTGGGTGAAGAGTGACGTTTATGTTACCTGCCCTGCAGGTAGTGGCTAAAATGTACCATCACTGCTGACAGAGGAGGACAGGAGAGGCTTTGGGGGTCAGGGGGACATTCTGGTTCTTGATCCGGACGTCGGTTGCAGAGGGGGTTCAGGTGATGAAAAGTCACAGCTCTGTCCTTACAATATGTTTACTTTGCTTTTATAATCGACTTCCATACACATCTGAAAAGGTGTGGGCCTGTTGTTTTAAGATTGAAATTTGTATTAGTTTCCCACTGCTACTGTAACATCCTGCCTCAAATCTCTTGGCTTCAAACAACATAAATGTATCATCTTACAGTTCTGTAAGTTAGAAATCCAGCGTGTGGGCGCCTGGGTGGCTCAGTTGGTTAAGCGTCTGCCTTCGGCTCAGGTCATGATCCCAGAGTCCTGGGATCGAGTCCCACATCGGGCTCCCGGCTCGGCAGGGAGCCTGCTTCTCCCTCTGACCCTATCCCCTCTCATACTGTTTCTCTCTCTCTCTCGCTCAAATAAATAAATAAATAAAATCTTTAAAAAAAAAAAATCATTAAAAAAAAAAAAAAAAAAAGAAATCCAGCGTGGATTTCGCTGAGATAAAATCAAGGTGTCGACAGGCCACGTTCCCTTCTGGAGGCTCTGGGGGCGAATCCACTTTGTTACGTTTTCCAGCTTCTAGAGGTTGACCTGCATTCCTTGGTGCGTGGTGCCCTCCCTCCAACTTCGGGGCGGGAACAGGAGACTGAGTACTCCTCACACCGCCTAGTTCATCCCTCCTCTTCTGCTTCCCTTTTCCATCTTTAAGGACTCTTGTGATTACATTGGGCCCAGTTGCAGAATACAGAATAATCTTATTTTGAGGTCAGCTGATTAGCAACCATAATTCCACCTGCGGCCTGAATTCCCCTTTGCTGTATAACCTAACGCATTCACAGGTATGGGGATCAGCACACGGACATCTTTGTGGGGCCACCCCAGTTATGAATGAGTCCTTTTCACTAGCTGGAGGCAGTGTGAGATAAGAAGGAAGATGGGTACAATGGAGAGCATGGCTCAGAGGCAAGAATATGCATTCCGCTCTCCGCTTTCTCTTCTTACCACAAGTTCACCAAGTCACTGGCCCTTGTTTTCACATCTCCCTAATGAAGGGGTTGGACGTGGTGTTTCCTGAGGGGCAAGACCCACCTCTCCTTATGAAATAAAACATTTAGGATCATTAAGTACCCTAGGGCAAATTTTTAATTAAAAAAAATCATTAGAGGGCGCCTGGGTGGCTCAGTTGGTTAAGCGACTGCCTTTGGCTCAGTTCACGATCCTGGAGTCCCTGGATCGAGTCCCGCATCGGGCTTCCTGCTCTGACCCTTCGTCCTCTGACCCTATCCCCTCTCAGGTGTTCTCTCTCTCTCATTCTCTCTCTCTCAAATAAATAAATAAAATCTTTAAAAAAAAAAAATCATTAGGGTGGTAATGTCGTCTTCCAATTTGGAATCGTCATTATAGAAAACCTCATGATATAGTGGTGGGTCTAAAGCTCACTAGACTTTAGACTCCTCTCCAGTGCTCTGGAGTTTGAGGATGGCCAACATTTGTGGTAGTCCTGAGAAGCTGTTGCTTCATGACATTCCCTTACCTGGGTACAGGCATGTGTCCTTCCATTAGGCCCAGGCAATGAGTTTACATTCTATTGTTTGCACCGTTCTCCCCACTCCTCCTATTTATTGCCACTTAGTCCTTTTTTTTTCCCCCCAATTGGATTTGCTTTTTCTCTGCTTTTATTGGACTTTTATTCATTCATTTAGATATTTTTAGGTTACCTATCATGTGCCGGGCATACACTGATGCTGAGATATGAATTAAGAAGAAAGACCCTACCACTACACTCATCGGACTGAGTCTAGACCAGTGGGTCCCCAAACATTCTTGATTGTATACCTGTCAGTAAAAAAAAATGTGAGGATTCACTCTTTACTGTATATGAAGTATGTTGTAAAGCATACCCCCAAATTGGAAATTAAATAGATGTTGTTCTCATAGTGCCTGGATAGAGTTCTCAGCTATCCCCTGAGACCCCTGCCCATGAGAGCTGACACAGAGAAAATTGAGAATCGGAAAGTTATTAAAAGACAAAGAAATGTGTGACTTCAAGCCGTTTCTTAGCCTGGTCTTATTGTTCCTTTTGTTCCTTGCAGATTTGTTTGGTGTCTGTGTCTCAATGTCACTGTCCTTATTATTTCACTGGCCTTGCTGCCGCAGCTGGTCTGTCTATCCTGAGGATCACACTTGGAGCTTTTCCCATGGCCTATGCTTGGATGCATTTTATTTAGATCTCCATTCCCCTGCAGTCCTCCTACCCTGCCACCCAACCTGAGTAGTAATCCTTAAGATGAACTCGCAGCTTTTTGGAAATAACTCACATCCTTTTCCCCCTCAGGAAGGATTTGTTCGTGTCGATCGAGATTATGTCCTCAAGTCTGCGGAGCTGGCAAAAGCTGGAGGGTGCAAACATTTTAACTTGCTGTCCTCTAAGGGAGCTGATAAGTCAAGCAATTTTTTATATCTGCAAGTTAAGGTTTGTGCACATTTCTATCTTGCATATACTTTTGAGAACCCTGGCTAAGTGGCACTACAAAATAATGTAAAATGCTAAATAATACAGAAATGCATTAAATGCATTATATTATGCATTTTCTATAGTGGCAGGGACTGTTTTTTTGCATGGATATGTTTAGTAAACAGGAGTGATTTGAAAGATAATTTCCAATGTCTTTCCCCGTGTTGATTATCCAGTAATCATGAAATGAGTTGTGACAGCTCTGGTCTTGAATATCAGTATGGAATCTTAGCATTAGAAGAGACTTGGAGGCAGTGATTCTTAAACTTTTCCAGCGTAGATGATATTTTAGTATTGGGTATGGCTCTTGTCCTCAAGGTATCTCTAATATGCTTGTTTGGGGATTCCCCGAGGCTAGACCCAAGTTTGGTAATTTGATAGAAGGTCTCACAAGATGCAATATATAGTTATATTCACAGCAATGATTTATTACAATGAAAGGCTAGGAAGCAAAGTCAGTAAAGGGAAGAGTGCATGGAGTGAGGTCCAGAGGAAATGGGCACAAGCTTCCAAGAGTCTTCTCTCAGTAGAGGCACACATGCTTAATTTCTTCAGCAACGAGTGTTGAGAAAATGAGAGAAATTTGCCTGAGCACCAGAGTTCAGAGTTTTGATGGGTCAATCACATTGGCACCCTGAGCCTGGAAAATAATTATAAACTTCCAGAAGGAAAGCAAGTGTTCAGCATAAGCCACATCATTTGTACAAATAGTTTAGGTAACGTAAACTACCCTATCAGTTAGGTAATGACGGGGACACTCCTGAAATCCAAGTTCTTGGACACAAGCCAAAGGTCAACCTTGCAGACAGGACTTTCTACGATTAAAATAGAGTCTCAGCCTGCTATGTTAACTCTTCTATGCACCCTGCTAATAGAGACAAAACATATCTTCGTGAAAGCTAAGAGATTTGTCCACATAAACACTTGTATGTGAATGTTCATGGCAGCATTATTCATAATAGCCCGAGTAGAAACAGCCCAAATATCCATCAGCTGATGGATGAATAAAATCTGGTATATACATACAAAAGAATATTATTCAACTGTAAAAAGGCATGATACATGCGATAACATGGATGAACCTTGAAAACATTATGCTAAAAGAGAGAGGCCCGTCACAAAAGGTCACAACTTGTAGAATTCTGTTTATATGAAATATCCAGAATAGGCAAATCTGTAGAGACAGAAAGGTTAATGGTTGGCTAGGGCTTGGGGGGAGGGGATGGGAGTGAGTGCTAATTGGTGTAGGGTTTTGGGGGGCAAAGAAATAATTCTAAACTTAGATTGTGGGGAAGGTGGCATGACTCTGTAAATATACTAAAAAACATTAATTATTAATAAGTTTTTCAAAAAGCTGCCCAAGATTGTGATGCATCAGGTGAGGTGCCAAATGAATGGTATGAACAGGCCAAGAAGGAGGAGAGCGTGCCATAAAATTCACAAGGCCTTCAGATGTCCCTGTGTCTGGCATTTCTGTTCTTGGAGATGCCTGGCATGAAAATTCATGGTTGGTCTAACAAATTTAATTTAAAGCCATCATATAGATGTAATCTCAGTCTCTTGAAATTTGATGGGATTTGTTAGGAAGATGGTAATACAGAGCATCTGTGGGTCTTCTGACCCACTGGAACTACCTGAAAACCAAAAAAGGTGGATGTTCATCAGCCTGCAACATTAATTCTAGACTAAGGGGAGATTATTCATTGATGGTTGAACTCCTAACACATTACTTAGTCTCTGGAGCTGTTTTAAAATCAGTCACATGAAAGGCCGGACTGACTAGGCAGCCATCCTCTCAGTCAGGACATCAACTCTCTACTGCCTGTCAGGATAAATGATCTCTTCCTTAACTTCCCAGAATCTAGAATTCTAGGTAAGGATATTTACAGTTATTGAGACCCGCAGAAGCAGATTATCTTCAAAACCCCAAGTTATTCCCTCTTCAGCATTACAGTAAACTGGTCTTCTTGATTAAATACTAAAATTTGGTTTTGATTAACAGGGAGAAGTGGAAGCTAGGGTTGAAGAACTACAATTTGATCGTTACTCTGTGTTCAGGCCTGGGTAAGTGTTCATACTGCCCAACAGTACAGTACTGTTCGTCATGCTCCAGAAGTTAGTTTTTCATTTGAAGAGGCTGACAACTAAGATATCTAAGCTATGAAAGAAGTTGACTAGAGGTGGATTGCTTCTCCGAAGAACATACCTTCTGGCTTTGAAGGAAAGGGTAGACCGTTTGTTGGTGCCAGGTTCAGAGTAGCCTGGAATTTCCTGGGTGGCTTTTGCTGCCTTAAAAAAAAAAAAAATTCTCTTCATTCACCAAATAAAACATTTCACCCATTGTATTAATCTTTTCAGGCTGCCATAACAGAATAACACCACAGACCGGGAGGCATAAGCAACAGAAATTTATTTTCTCACAATTCTCGAGGCTAGAAGTCCAAAGTCAACGTGCCAGCAGAGTTAGTGTCTGCCAAGGCCTCTCTTCCTGGTTTGTAGATGGCCTTCTCTCTGTGCCCTGACATGGTCTTTCCTCTGGTGCACGTGGAGAAGTATCTGATCTCTCTCCCTCTCCTGTAAGGATACCAGTCCTGTCCGATCAAGATCCCACCCTTAGGACCTAACTTAATCTTAATAACCCCTCATAAATGCACCGTTATCAACTACAACCACACTGGGGATTAGAGCTTCAACATGAATTTGGTGGGCTGGGCACAGTACAGTTCCTAGCACCCTCTATGGTCTGAAGACAATAAACCATCTCTTCCTCTGCTTTTCTTTTTCTCTTTAGAGTTCTACTGTGTGACAGGCAAGAATCTCGCCCAGGGGAATGGTTGGTTAGGAAATTCTTTGGCTCCTTACCAGAATCTTGGGCCAGTGGGCACTCTGTGCCAGTGACAACTGTGGTCAGGGCCATGCTGAACAACGCAGTGAGCCCAAGCGGCAAGAAGAAGGAACTGCTGGATAATAAGGCCATCCATGACCTGGGGAAAGCCGATAGCTCTCTCACGCCATGACCACGCTGGAGAAACGCTTTCTACTGTAAAGCTCAACACCCGCCACCTTATTGGTACTTTCAGGGACAAAAAAAGTCAGTGTGCTTTAACGGTGGTTTCGCTAGTCTCAGCTGCCCAGATCATATCAAAAATTACTGTGTTCTGCACCAGCAGTTCAGAGCCTGGGTGGACGTATGGATACATCACCCAGGGAGCTTTTCAAAAATAGAGATTTGTAGGCTCTACCTCTAACCTCTGAAGAAGAATCTTCAGGGTATGAGCGCAGGAATCTGTTGGTTTTTTTAAAGCTTCCCCTAGTGTTTCTGGTGCCACTGGTGGGATGGCCTGCTTGAAAAGCTTCTCTGCAGTCAGAGTAGCAGCACAAACTTTATCTATTATGCAGATGATTTCTATTCTAAAATTGTCATTTGTGTCTTTGAGTTACCCGGCCCTGACTGCTGTATTTGTGTCAGTGGGCATCGTGCCTTACTACTTCTTTACAATGTATAATAAAAGTCATTATATAACCGAGCTTGTATAATTCCTGGGAGAACTAAACATAGGAAGAAAGATAAATGGACAAGTCCTGGGTGATCCTTAGAAAATGTCCAAGTATCACTGATAACGTGCAGCGTTTTGGCCAGTGGGATGATATAACAGCGCTAGTGTTTACCCGGTGCTGGCTAAGTGCCAGCCTATGCACATGCTGTCTGTCCTGTAGCCCTCCACAATCCTTGTAATCCTGATGGGTGCTACAATCATCCCCATATCTTGGATGGGGAAACTGAGGGCCCAAAGCTGAAGACCTGAAGCTAGGCTATGGCAGAGCCAGGATTCTAACCCAAGTCAGCATGACCCATAGCTTGTATTATTTTTAACGACTCTGCAAAAGCCTCCGGTATCTGTATATTTTCAGGAAGTTCCACTTAACAGTGAATGTGCTATGGATGAATAAAATTGAAATATTTGTTTTCTTTTATAGGGTTTAGGATCCCAGTAATGATTAACCACAAAATGTTCACATAGCCAGTAGAAGTGTATGTCAAGGTGCCACACTTTAAAAACTATGGAAAAGGAAAGATGCAGAAGGAAGGGTCAAAGTCAAGAGGAGTACACAGTGTTAATTTCCATCCAGGAACAAAGGATAGTGGTGAAACCCTGTCTTAACCTCTGTGCTGAGGGAAACAGTGATTTGAATGATTCAGTCCATTTTCACAGGGTCTACAGTATGCCAGGTACATTTCAAGCTTCAGTGGACATCAGATGATAAAGGCCATTCCCTTTAATTGGGGGTGTATATCTGTAGAAGGGATTAGACATTCCCATTGTCAGTCACCCCGGAAAGAGACATATTTTAGGAAGGGGTGGGGTCTTAGGATGTGGACTTTAGGAAGGAGATGGAACATTCCTCCTGCCAGGCAGGGTTCCTTTGGGGTTGGACTCTGAAGAGCCTTTGTGTTTGGGTGATAACAGGCATGGGTTCCAAGGAGTGAGGCATGAGGCGAGGGGACCCTAGGAGGACATCCTGATGCCTGCGGGCTCTAAAAGCTACCCCCAGTGGCTAATTTTAAGTTATCCTCTCTATGTTATTTTCTTGCCCACAGAACCTTCTGTCGGGTCATGTTCAACTTCCTATTCTGGTCTCAATAGTGAGATGGGATGTTAGGGGTAGGGTCTGTCTGTGTTCATCTTTGGAGTAGAAAGGAAAGTGGCTCCCTCCCAAACCCAGCATCGTGGTGAGACATAAACTTAAAAGGACAAGATTCTGGCTCAGTCACCCTTCTAGACTGTATGTTACTTACTTTAGTGTGTTAACCTTGACTGGGTGTTACAAAGGAACTGAGCAGATATCCCTCCAAATGTTATACACACAGGGAGAAGGTGGCCCATGCTGGAGAAAGAGTTTATGTTGGAAGGATAGAGCAAAAAGGTGGATGGGCCCAGGTAACCAGAGGCCTTGAATTATTTAATTCAGCATACCGAATGCTTCCTAAGCACTCCTGGGCACATAGGCAGTATGGATACATCAGGGAACAGTAAGTTTAACCTACTGGAGCCAGCAGCTATTCTGGCAATGTAAGGACAAATATTCAAAACTAATATTTGATAGATTCTGTCCTCTAGTTTACAGATAAGACAGAGGAGTACATTCAGAAGAGTTGAGCAATATAAGGCATCATTTTCACTCAGCAAATTTACCAAGTACCTACTATGAGTTAGGTCATCTATTATGTGCCAGAGAAACGAAAGCAAAGAGACAAGGCCCTTTGAGACAAGGCCCAGCATTGGGGGTAAAACCAAAAAAAAAAAAAAAGAAAGAAAGAAAAACAAGCAAATGGTACATGCTCAGTAAGAAACTAACAGAGGGCTGCTGGAAAGACAGTGGAAACTTCTTGAGAAATGGTGGTTTGTATTTGTAGAGCATTCTTAGCAAAAGCCTTGAGGTGTGAAAATGATTAAAGGCTGGAGGGTGGGACCCAGGGTGAAGGGTTGGGTTGACATGGAAGTCAGGCAGGATTATGTGGAGCCTGGTAGGCCAAGGTAGTCAATTTAATTGGATAAACATGTGCCAGTCTCTGGAACTAGAGCTTGGTCAATTACCTACTGAAATTACTGCTGCCCACTCCCACCTAACAAAGCATTCTGTGGTTTGAGTAGATGTTAGGAAGGGGAAAAAAGCCATGAAGAACGGAACGTTTGTGTTCTTCCCACCCAGCAGCCATTATGTCACTTTCTAAACGTATGGAAGGGCATCACTCCGTCGCTTAACCGAGGTCAGCTGCTTCCCATTGTTTAGGATAAAGTTAACACTTATGTCCAAGCACTTTACATGTATTAAGTCATTTTATCCTTAGAGTGGCTCTGTGGCTAGTGCGGTCATTATCTTTGTTTTGGAGGTGAGGAAGTGGAGGCAGTGAGAGGTCTTGATGTTGCTCAAGATCAGAGTGACAAAGTGACAGACGTAGGATTGAGACCGAGTAGGTTGGATCGGAGTCCATGCTCTCACTTAACCACTGCACTTTAAAGACTAAAACCCTTAAAATAGTCCTCCATGCTTTGGCACCTGTGTGTGCTCTAGTACCCCCACACTGGCTCCTGCAATCCTGTCTCCCCACCCTGCTGCACCCCAAGGGAATCAGGGAGCCCAGGAACCAGAGTCGAGTCTCAGGCCCTTACTTGCGCTCCGTCTCTCCGCCACCAGAGGGCGCCGCGGGCCGGCCGCCCCCTACACTAACGGCCCATTCCTCGAATAAGAGACGCGCAGAGGGCGCGGAGCCCATTGCAAAGCCGCTGGGCGCCTGCGTCTCTGGGCTCAGGGGCACAGGCGAGGGCCTCCCGCTAAGACGTGCCGCAGCGCGAGGAGGAGACAAAAGTCACATCAAAGTCTGCGACGCTCAGTCCAGCTTTCAGCGCCGACTCGGCGCGCGATACATCAACCTTGCCGCTGGAGGAAGCGGAGCCCCGGCTCCGGCCCCGCCCCCAGATCACGTGACCAACAACCACGGCCTCGAGGCCGGAAGCGCTTCCAGGTCCGCGCGCGCGCGGTCTCGCGTTTCTAGGCGACGCTGAGGCTCCCCGAGTTGCGTCCTTGCCTTGCGCTCGCGCTCGTTCCCAGGGTTCCGGGCCCGGTTTGCTCGGCGGCGGCCGCGCGTGCGCTGCCCAGCCCGGTCCCCGCCCCCAGGCGCGCGAGATCCCGGGGCAACACAGCCATGTGCTCGTTAGCGTCGGGCTCTGCGGGTGGGTATCTTCGGCCCCTTAGCGCCGTGTTCGCCCGGCACGCAGGCCGCGGGGCGGGACAGAGACCCTCCCCTCCCGGATGCGGTGCGGGACGGTGGGGCCTGGCTGGGAGGGCGGGGGAGGCGCGGGCGAGGGCCGCGGGGAGCGGGGCGGAGGGTGGTGTCTCGCGCTGCTGTCGGTCCCGGGCACGGCTGATGGTTTGCATGTGCTAGGCGGCCGGCGCGCTGTGGAGGACGAGGACGACCTGCCAGAGCTGTCCGACAGCGGTGACGAGGCCGCCTGGGAGGACGAGGACGATGCTGAGCTCCCCCACGACAAGCAGCAGACCCCCTGCCTGTTCTGTGACAGGTTCGTCCTCCTCGGTGCCCGAGCCCCGTGGGTCCGTTCGTCTGAAGTCCAGCCCGAGCGGCCTGCCCGCGAATCCTTGAACCAGTGGTGTGGAGTGAGGGTTTGTTGACGAAAGGAGGAAGCACAGTGCTGTAGAGGGAAGAGCCGTGAACTGGGAGCCCAGCTTATGCCAGCTTCTCTTCCACAGGCCTCAGTTTCCCCTAGTGTGAAATCTGAATCTGTGGTTCCCAAACCTAGTTGTGCGCCCTTGTCACCTGAGACTTTGAAAAGATGCTGAAGCCCGCGCCGCAGCCCTTCTAAATCAGGGGTGGGGCCTAGGAATCTTCTCTTTTCATAAAGGCATCTTCTGAGTAACAAGTTTGCCAGTCACTAAACCACATAATCCCTCAGGACCCTTCCAGCTTTATCATTCTGTTTTTCATTAATGAGTACGGAGCTTCTCAGGTGTAATACTTCCATTGAGCCGTCTGAAGAATCACCTTTCTTAGGGAGGGGCTCCCCACCCATTGCAGGGAGAGGAATTGATGCCTTTTTCACTTAGGAAAAAGACTATGGTATCAGTGACTTGTTCAAGGTCACAAAGCTGTGGTTTGCCTTATCTCCAAATCCATGTTTTTTCCACATAAAATTCTGCCTCTTCATCTCAGTAAGCTTTAACTTTGGTCGACGCTCTGGACAAGTGGGCGTGAAAGAGGCCTGCTTGGCACTGGCCAGTGTTACCTGAATAAACATTTTTCCAGTTTCCCATAAATCTGGGCATGGTGCTGATTGGCGGTATATTGGTTCCTCTTGATTGTCATTGTTCTCACACGTAGCGCCCTTTGCGTAGGTACAGAATGTCTCCATATACTCCAGTTGGCATAAAATAATATTTATTGAGCATCAGGGATGTACTTCTTTGTAATAGGCTAAGTACAGCGAGGTAAACGTTTGTTGAAAACTAACTGCTGCAGAGGTGCCGAATGTACAGAGGTATGCGGCTCCTCCTCTGTGTGTTCCTATCTTAAGAATCCTTCGGTTTCGCAGGTCACATAATAAAGAGGTTTGGTCTTCACAATGTCTGTAACACAAGTACTTTCACAACACTACAAGATCACTTTGGGAAAATGCCACCTATAAAAATTACATTTTATGCTTTATTTCTAAAAGGAGTCTGAGCTGCCACAGTTCAAAGCCTCTGGAAGCAGCGTTGACACAGAGCAGAAAAGAATCTTCTGTAGGGAATTTTCATATCTTGAGAGAAACAATCTATCACAGGGAGTTCTCTTCCTTAAAAGCCTTTTGATAAATTCAGTGCTATTATTTGGCAAATAAATGAACCTTGACATTTAAAATGTAGTTAGTGTAGGGTGTAAAACGGGACTCAGAAGTACTAATTCCCTTTAGAAATGCTGGGTCCCTCTCATCTACAGGGATGTTTGTTTTTTTCTTAATTGGATATAAAATAGGAATCAGCAGAATGGGGGGGATACATATTTAACATGAAATCAATATTTAGACTTTTGAGAGGACTATTTCATAAAGAAGTTGTTTGATTTTTCAGGTTATTTACATCTGCTGAAGAAACGTTTTCACACTGTAAGTCTGAGCATCAATTTAATATTGATAACATGGTCCATAAACATGGTGAGTATTTTTTAGAATAAAGAGAATTTTAGTTGTGAAATTTAAGTTCAAACTTTATATTTTTCCAGATCTTTCCTTTCCTACACAAGCTCAGTGTAGTGAAAAATATAACAACAGCCTATCTTACAAAGTTGTTTTGACAAGTAGCCTTTGAGGGAGGACTAATTATAAGTCATTCTTCTAGATAAGATTCGCTATATTTAAGATTATATTGACTTCACAACTAAAAAGGAAAAACAACCTTGGCATGTGATTGCATTTTTATCATATTAGAATTAGGGAGAGCAAGGATGGAGGTGGACTTTGGAAAAGGAAGTGGGTCATTGTGAAAAAAGACAACTTACCAGGTTGAAGCATAACATGAACTTCAGGGCATACAAGGTTGAGTTTGGCAAGAGTATAGAAAAAGGAGTGATGAAGTTAAGGGGATGAACAAAATATTTAGATGATTCTTTTGAAACTTGCATTTGAACATACTTCCCTTACAATTAAAGTCTGCTTCTTTAAATGGATGCCGAAGAGTTACACGATTCCACTAAAATTAACTGAATACAGAATTGTTTTTTTAGTCCCTATATTTGCTATCAACTAGAAAAGACATTAAATATGTGATAAATATGTTTATAAATCAAATTCAACCGCAACTGCTTTTGTTAAGACATGAATGACTTACTGGGTTTTTTAATGTGCATTTTTAAACTGAATTGGAATCATACTTTAAATATAATTTTGTAATTTTTTTTCACTTAACAAATAGAGGTTTTTGTATGCTGTTGTGCATATAAAACATTTTAAATGCTGTTGTTTCTTATGACAACATTTCTCACAACAACTAATTCCCAGTTGGTTAGATATCCTGTTGCTTTTCCTTTAAACAGTGCTTCATTTCTGGAAAGAGAACAAGCCTCATTGTTTTTTAATTTATATCATTTAACTTCATGTAAAAGCTAGTATACTTTGTATACTCCATGTCCGGGCAAAATTGTAATTTGGTAGGCACCCTAAATGTAGGGGATTTAGAGACTTTGGGCTCTAATATCAGCTGCCAAATACTTGGTAAAATCTACAACCGAATTTTCCTGATTTGTTTTGTTCTTACAAATGAGGATTTGAATGCTAAAAATTAATTTCCTGCTTTTTAAAAATGCAAGAAAAACATTAAAAACTGTTATCCATGTGGCTGTTTCTCAATTAAAATTTTCAGAAGTATTTAAGTCACTATTTCTAGTTCTTAATAAGAAATTCAAAATATTTTAAGTTATAGTTTAGAGGTTATTATTAACCAGAGAAGCTTCTATAGAATAGGTCAGTTAAACAAAACTCATATTAAAATAGGTGAATTTTCTTTTTTTTTCCCCATTAGGACTTGAATTTTATGGATACATTAAACTAATAAATTTTATTAGACTTAAGGTAAGTTGGTAGCTTAATTTACAATTTTGTTTGGAAACTAAAGAAATACCACAGTGACTATTGGTGCGTTAATTTTAGAAGAATACAAAGAACTGCTATATAATCATCATATTGGGGGAATCATGGACTTTAGGAGCTGGTACAACATACAGCACCAAGTAAATGAATACACACCATGTTTAGTAAAGTTATCATTTTTAACTGTGTCCAAGAGGTGAATTGATTTTATGTGAAAAAGTAATTCAGTGTCAGATAATACCCGTATTTCCTAAATCAGAAATAATTTCTAGTGTGATTTCAAGTACTGTGGTTGTCTTCTTGTTCTATTTTTAAATACTTAGTCCTTTTTTCTCTCCTATTCTAATGAATGTTTATGATGCTACTTCCCCCAAATCCAAACAATAAAAAAGTGCGAAAAACCCTATTGCTTAATCTAAGCAATCGTCCAATCAAGTTAATGAAATGACAGGTGAACATAGACTCCTTAAATAGAGATTTTATGTGAAGTAGACATGGTTCCTTTTTTGGGGGCTTAATTTTCTTATTTTTTCTGGGGCGGGGGTTTGTGATTATATACAATGAAAAGACATGCAATTAATTTTACGTCCAGAATCCTACAGTTGAGTATATGAATTCCATATACAACCCAGTGCCTTGGGAAAAAGAAGAGTATTTGAAGCCAGTATTAGAAGATGACCTATTACTTCAATTTGGTAAGATGAACATACTGGGTCTACTTTAACATAGGGTCATTTGTAATGGCAAATGGTGGTTAAGTTTTCTAAGGAAATATATCATCTCCTTAATTCTTTAAAGACCTTACTAGGTAGTTGGTTTCAATAGGAAAGTTAAGTTATTTAAGAACTGTTAATTACACTGACCGTTACTAGAGAGAAATTTAGAAATAGGAGTTTCTTTAAATACTGTGTACTAGATGTTCTGAAACATTGGGACGCTTGAGAAAATAATTTTTAGTTGTAGACTGATTTTTCTACTAAAATTGACTAAAATTTTTATTTAGTTAAATTAACTAAAATTAACTAAATTTTAAATTTAAATTAACCAAAATTTTTAAATCTACTGATTCAAAATAATTTTATTTTTTTATTTTTTCTGCTTCAAAGTAATTTTAAAGTAGATTTAATAATATTTGCTGCTTTTTGTCTGATATATTTAGATGAGATAATTGACTTTTTTTAAAGACATCTAATTTACTGAGATTTTGGTGTTGTTTTTCTTTTTTAAGATTTTATTTATTTATTTGACAGAGAGAGACACAGCGAGAGAAGGAACACAAGCAGGGGGAGTGGGAGAGGGAGAAGCAGGCTTACCGCCAAGCAGGGAGCCCAATGCGGGGCTCGATCCCAGGACCTTGGGATCATGACCCGAGCCGAAGGCAGACGCTTAACGACTGAGCCATCCAAGCGCCCCTGAGGTTTTGTTTTGATGCAGAACAGATTCCACGCAAATTTCCATGGGCTTACCTACATACACTAACTCTATAGCCTTCCTTGTGGCAGGGCCACTCTCATTTCTTGACTGTAGCTTTCTTACTTATTTATTCTGTGCATTTGCTCATTCCCTATTTTACTCTTTTTAAGATTTATTTATCTGAGAGAGAGCACGCAAGTGGGCGGAGAGGTAGAGGGAGATCATCTCAAGCAGACGTCCCCCTGAGTGTGGAGCTCATGGTGGGGCTTGATCCCAGGACCCATGAGATCATGACCTGAGCCAAAATCACAGGTCGGGCTCTTAACTGACTGAGCCACCCAGGCACCCCAACTCATTCCTTATTGAACAGGGATCTTGTGAAAATTCTGTTGGCTTCTTATAAATACTTTATTGTTATAACTTATCAGGGTTAATAATGTGTGCTTTTTTCCCCTTTATACTGTCTTTCATGTTTCTTGTGTCAGGTGAGGTAGAGGGTTTGCTCTCTTCAGGTCAGTGAGACCATTCTAAACAGACATGTACCTTCACATACAGAAGTCTGACAGTGTGGAGTGGAGCAGTACTCTGATTAGTGAGAACTGTGGAGAACTACTCATTTCCTTGAGAAGGACCATCATTAAGTTGTGTGGCAGTAAGGACCTTAATGTAGGATTCAGGAACTGTGTGACCCTGGACAGAGCTTTCTTTTATTAAGTTTTCATCTGAGATTCTTTCTGGCTCCAAAATGTGGTGAGTCCCAGGTTGATTCTTTCCTGTTTTTACAAATTCTCTCTAATTTCATTTCTCCCAAGAGTGATCAAAGTGATCTCTTTGATAAATGACAAAGTGCGCACTAAGTGCTCTCTATGACTTCCTAAATTCAAAATCATTTATTGGAACACTCACAGGATGAAAGTGTATGTTAAATGCTTTAGAAACGTAAAGAAATGAATCTTTCCCTTAGGGAGCCCATAGTCTTAAGAGTGTTTTGTTTTTAAACGCCTGTCTTGTATTATGAGGTCAAATATGGTAAGTTTTGTGAGAAGTCGAAAAGGTAGTACTGTTCAGAAGAAGAAGAGGTTATTCAGATCAACAGATATTGAATGTTGTGTCCTGGTCACTGTGGGTACAGATTGGTATTGAATCTAATTCTTCAGCGATATATAAAGTTAATTTCTTTCAGTTGTAATTTGTAAAAAGGTGATAATGACACCTACCTTATAAAATTGTTGCAAAGATAATGCATATTAGCACAGCACCTGTCAGAGGGTAAGTGCTTAATAAAGGAGAATTTATTGTTTAAATAAGGCCTACAGGAGTTTGGATGAAGAAGCCATGACTGCGATCTGGAACACTTAAAGAGGCCTAGTAAAAGAAGGAGAACTTGAACTGGGCCTGTCCTGGAGTGAACTGCCTGCATTTTCTCAAATAGTCTGTGCTCCTAGCCCTTGGTGGAGAGAGATGGAAGAGAAGGTCATCGCTCTCTTGGCTCCAAGCTTTATTACTGACCATTGCACCTCCACTGCCTTTCAGTAAATATTTATCGAGTGTCTGCTAAGTATTAGGCTTTGAGGATTTAAAGATGATTGAATTAATAAAGGAGATGACTAAGAAAATAGGCAATGCAAGTACAGTATAAAGGGGGACAAGTAACTTTACAAGGGAGAAACCTGGCAAACACTACCATAGCCAGATAATCACATCAGTGATAAATCATGTTGCTATTATCAACTCTTTATATAATGTGATGAGAATGGCACTTTCCCTCTAGTCTTCCTCCCCAAACCAATAACCTCAGTCTAACATGAAAAATCATCAGACATACAAAGTAAGGGTCATTCTACAAACTACCTGACCAATACTCCTCAAAACTGTCAAGATCATCAAAAACAAGGAACATCTGGGCGCCTGGGTGGCTCAGTTGGTTAAGCGACTGCCTTCGGCTCAGGTCATGATCCTGGAGTCTCTGGATCGAGTCCCGCATCGGGCTCCCTGCTCGGCAGGGAGTCTGCTTCTCCCTCTGACCCTCCCCCCTCTCATGTGCTTGCTCTCTCTCATTCTCTCTCTCTCAATTAAATAAATAAAATCTTTAAAAAAAAAAAAAAAACAAGGAACATCTGAGAAACTGTCATAGCTAAGAGAGGCTTAAGGAGACCTAACTGAATGAATTATAGTATCCTGGATAGGATCTTGGTACAAAAAGGGGGTATTAGGGAAAAACTAATGGATATGCACTTACTTTTTAACACAACAGTTTCACAGATAAGAATCTATTTTGAAGGTACCCCTCCAACATTCTGAAAATACATGTACACAAGTTTAGTCAGTATAGCATTGTAATTTCTAAATATTGACAACAATTTAAATGCTCATACATAGGAGAGTAGTTGAGTAAACTCTGGTATATCCACACCATCTGTTAAAAAAAAAAAAAAAAACACCAAAGATCTCTGAACTGATGAGTGATATCCAAGACATACTGTTAAACAAGAAAAGGCAAAGCTCAAAGGAGTATCTGTGGTATGATATTCTCATCATGTAAGAAAGAAAGGGATTTGAGAAGATGCATGTGTCTGCTCATTTGTACAAAAGAAATACAGGAAGGATAAACTAGAAACTAAAGAGAGTAGTGACGTGTGGAGTTTAGTGGGACAGATATGGAGAGAAGGGCACAATGGGGTTGAGGTAACAGGGATAACGAGGGAGTGGCGTTTCTCTGAGGGTATCTTCTGTATAGCCCCGACTCTTAGGACTGTAGTGTTATTTCTCATAGCCTTCATGTAATAAAACAAAAAACAACAAAACAACCAGGATGTGTGAGGGTTATGGTGGTGCAAAATGGAATGTAAACACTAACAGATGAACTCAACTGTATTACAAAGGAATAATGTAACTGCTGAAGGGGGTGGCAAAGGAAAGAGCTGTTTGAGTAACTAAAATCTTGACTGGATATTGTGCTGAGGCTCCAGGTAAAAAGACTACGTAAGTGCTGTAATCTAGTCAGTAAAGGGGTTTCTCGCAGGGTATGTATGAATAGCAATTCTGGGACTCCGTATTGTCTATAATAGCATCGACAAGTAAGTAAATATATTATGGATAATAAGAGCTAGGTTTCTCGCTGTTGGAGAAGGAGGTTTCAGATAAGGAAGTACAGAAGGATGAAATGAGTCCTATGGTGATAGATTGGAATTGGAGGTATCAGTATAAATTCACAGTTTTTAATATACATACAGATAGATACAGAAATGTAGGTGTCTGTGCATGTGTGGGTTAGTATAGACACATGTATTTCCTAGCTCTGTTGAGAGAGCCTAGAAAAACCCCAGTAGCAATGAGTATGCCTTTTACCCAGATTTTAACACTATTGTCCAATAAAAGGAACCAAGGCTCTTTAGAGAAGTGCTTGATTCCATGAATGGTGCAGGATGATAAAAGATGAGTCTGGAACAGCTTGTGCCACAAAATAAGGAAGTACTTAAAAAGAAAAGATGGGGAGGGGGACCTTACACAAGAACACAGGAGCCAACCTGAAGGACTCTTCATGGCCAAAGCTGGAGTAGTTTGAGCAACAGAGAAAATGATAGTATTCGGTTTTAGCCCATAGGAGAGAATAAATATCCATGGATCCATACTGACATAATCAACTAAATAAATAAACGGAGAAGGAGCAGCTCGAACTTAGAGTAAAATTTTCATTAATAAATATAGAAGGGAAGAGAGAAATAGAAAATCACCATTAGGCAAACACCATAGTAATAACTTGAAGAAAAGATCCACCAATGGAGGGACACCTGGGTGGCTCAGTCGTCAAGCGTCTGCCTTCAGCTCAGGTCATGGTCCCAGGGTCCTGGGAGCGAGCCCTGCATCGGGCTCCCTGCTCAGCTGGGAGCCTGCTTCTCCCTCTCCCACTCCCCCTGCTTGTGTTCCCTCTCTAGCTGTCTCTCTCTCTGTGTGTCAAATAAATAAATAAAATATTTTTAAAAAAAAGGATCCACCAATGGATGCTAAGATTAGTGGGCAAAAATTTAAGATGAAATAGGATTTGCATAGTTCAGAGTATCTCCCCAAGAAATTTAAATACAAAGGAGATGTTAACTTTTCCAGGAGACAATACCACAACTGAGTGATCAAGGTTAACATCACCATTAATAAGTCCTGTTGACACCTTGGTAAAATGCACTCAGGATATAACATCATTTTTCTGATGTTCTTGCCAAAAATGTATAACTTTATTCCAATAATGAAAAAACATCAGCCAAACCCAAGTTGACGGACTGACTACAAAATCAGTACTCTACAAAAGTGTCAGATACAGTTCTTAGGTGCAGTGTTCTAAAAATAGGTAGTTCAAAGTGCTGAATATTTTAGTTCCGATCTTTTATATGTTTCTGAATTTTTCTAATTCATCATTCATTGATAGGGGTGTATTTACATTTCTATGACTGAAGAATTGTCTGTTTTTGCCCTTTGATTCTATCAGTTTTTGCTTTTGTGAGGTTTCTACTCATTTATAATTGTTATGTCTTCTTGATAAATTGACTATCCTTTGTGGTAGTTCTCAGCTGCCAAAATGAAGTATCCAGGTGATTTGAACCTCCTGAGACAGAATGTAGATGTGGAAATTCATCTTCCTGAATATGGTTAGGACTTCTGATAAATTATAGTTATGGATCTTAATGTTGACTAAATCCTTTGTCCTTTTCAACATTTAATATATATGATTATCTACATTATTAGTGTTGAAAGTTTTTACTCTTTTATTGCAGCAAAAAGCAAACAGAACCTTGCTAAAACAAAGAAATCAATTCCTTTGTTCAGTTCTGATCTGTAATTTAAACTAACAAATTGGCTTATAAACAGTTTGAAGAAGTTTGAAAACAAGATACATAGAGTTGTAGTAAGAAGTAGAAAATCTGGTGTACCGTCCTTAACGTATTTTGTTGTTCTCATTAAATTTTGGTGAATTAAATAGTGAATGAATCTATAGTTTTTTTTAAAAGAGAGACTCGGTGTTCTGTCATGCTGATAGAGATTAGTGGCATACGTACTACTGCTTTCAGAAGTTGTTTGACTTAGGCTCTAGTCTCTAAGTTATAATATTCTCATGTATTTGTTAAGCTTAGTTCTTTTTTCTCAACTGAGTGTCACAACTAAAAACTGAGTAAGAAAAAAAGCCATATTTCTCCCAGTACTGTACTGAAGAGAAAATATATCCACATTGTTTTTATTGCTTTAAGTTGATCTGAAAGTTAATTGGACTGGTTAATAGACACTGGGATTTTGACCACAGTCACTAACTCCATATATTAACGTCTGTTTGCAGAGTTATTAATTCTACAGTGGAAGTTAATGAGTTTATACATAGTGAAATTAAAATTAAGTCAAGAACTTTTAATATTAGGAGTTAGGATATCAATAATATCAGCAATAAGACATCGGTGTATAGATTGTACTACCCTTTTACCTAGGATGAATAAGTTACTGAATGTGTAGAATTCTTTATGTACACACTGTCCTTAGTGAATATCTAAATGTAATACCTGTTATTCTATAGATAAAGACCCAGAGTCTGAGAAGAGACCTTGCATAGTGGCAAGAATATGAGCTAGGAGGGCAGGCATGGGTCTGTATCTTAAGTTTATTCATTCAATAGCCAAATGACTTTGGGCTACTCACTTAATTTCTCTGAAATTTATATTTCCCATGCCTTAAATTAGGGATAAATATTTAAATCTTAGGTTTTTTTTTTTTTAATATTTTATTTATTTGACAGAGAGAGACACAGCAAGAGAGGGAACACAAGCAGGCGGAGTGGGAGAGGGAGAAGCAGGCTTCCCGCGGAGCAGGGAGCCCGATGTGGGGCTCGATGTGGGGCTCAATCCCAGGACTCTGGGATCATGACCTGAGCCAAAGGCAGACACTTAACGACTGAGCCACCCAGGCGCCCCCGTCTTAGGTTTGTTTTGAGGAAGAAATGAGATGCAATGTTTGTACTTGAAAGAAACCTGGTGATCAATACATATTAGGGCTTTTTCCTTTCACTTTTTTGTTTCTTCCTGAGTTTGGTTCAGTATGATTAATGCTTTTATATATGGTTAATTTAGCCACCTAACGAAAAACTTAGACGGAGAGCATGCTCTTTAAATGTAAATGGAAGCAGTCTGGATATTAAAGATTTATTAGAAGTACTTTTACAAATATTTCTCAGTTGGCTGCATAATAGGCACTTAGTATATATTTATTGATAACATGTTTATATTTGCTTCATTGTCAGAAGGTGGCCTGATAATAATGTCCATTTATTTCTTTAGATGTGGAAGATCTTTATGAACCAGTGTCAGTGCCATTCTCATACCCCAATGGACTCAGTGAAAACACATCCGTTGTTGAGAAGTTGAAACATATGGAAGCCAGGGCACTGTCTGCTGAAGCTGCATTAGCTAGAGCGCGTGAGGATCTGCAAAGAATGAAGTAATTTATCAGTCTTAAAGAAAATTAGTTATTTAGATCCCAAAAGTAACACCACTAATAATAAGGTGGAATATGGTAAAACTTTTCATGTACTGGAAAGCACAATGTAGGTATTTAATTTTAAATTTATTTTAAGTTAATTAATGATATGCAACATTTTTATATGTTATATAGTTGATTAACATAAAATTTTGTGGTTTTACCTGTTCTCACATACTTCTTTTTAATTACTTTTGTACTAATGGTTATTGTTCTGGGAGTGTTGTCCTCTTGAGTGCTTTTGTTCTTTGCCTTCCTTTGAATTACTCTGTATCTAATAGATTTTTCCATTTACTTTTTTTCTACTAGGCTTTTAAAGGGGAGTAATTAATATTTTTTAGGGTTGGGGACAATACAGTGTTGAAATTTTTGTTTTTAAAGAATCAAAGTATAATTACATAGTATTTAGTTAGAAAACCAGATACATAGGATGGTTTTCTCCAGTGAGTAAATTAGCCTTCTTCTGGCTTACTACTTCACAGAATTTAATGTGCATATGAATCACCTGAGAATTTGTTAAACTGTACATTCTGATTCAGAGGTCTGAAATAGGGCCTGAGATTCTGCATTTCTACCAAGTATAGCTTCAGCTGTTGGATTTGTAAGTTGGTTGCCATTCCCTCAGTGCCCATTTGATGGTTTGCCAGAAGGTCCAGCAGGGAACATAGTATAGCTGATTGTGGTTCCCTTTCCCCATTTTGAGATTTTATGCTGGTTAATCTGGTAAACAACAACTCTGCTATCTGCCTCTTTGCATTTCTCCCCCATGTACACATTATAGATTCTTAATATGTTGTGATCAGAGAGGGAATTGAGCTTTAGAGCAGCAGTGGGTGGTGGTGTTGTATGTAAATAATTCTCAATTTGGGTCAACTTTTTGTCTGTATAACCCTTCCATGAAATACGGTTTCAAAGAATATTAATAGTGTTGAAATATACCACATTGATCAGCTGCTAAAATAAGATTTTAGAACAATAGAAATAATAAAGTTGAATAAAGATAATGTGCTTTTGTTCAGTTGAAAGATACAAACAGCTATAATCTTCAGTTGGCAGGGTTTTCGTGGTTTGCAGAGGGAATGTTTACATATGGGTTTAAATATGCTGTTGCGTAAGGTCCAGCAGGGGGAGCTTTCAGTTCCTTAGGATAGAATGTTGTGTTGGAAGGCTCATCACACTGCATACCCCACTCCCTCCCCTTTCCTCTCCCTCAACCTCTAGCCTTTCCTCTTTTCATGGTCCAATAAACCTGTCTCAAGGGTGTATTTCAAATTGATTACAGACAATTTGCTCAGGATTTTGTGATGAACGCAGATGTCAGAACCTGCTCGTCATCTGCCATTGCAGACCTCCAGGAAGATGAGGATGGTGTTTATTTCAGCTCATACGGGCATTATGGGATACATGAAGAAATGCTGAAGGTTAGAAAAGAGCACAAATGCACCAAATCCATACTAAAGGAAAAACAGAATAAAACAAGTTCTTAATATATATGCTGGGAGAACTGGGGGTTTTTTGGTTTTTTTTAGAACTGCTTTTTAAATCTCTTTGGTGCTTAATAGCACATCTTGGGTTGAAAAGACTGGAGGAGCATCACAGCCACTGTAAATTCCATTTAAGATCATTATTAATCTTTATTATGAAATCTTTACTTTTGCTTGAAATAGAACATTGGAAAAAACTGGTGCTCTCTTAAGAGCAACTATTAAATAGGAACAAATAAATTATACGTTTGCCTTTTAATGTACAGAGGGGATGATTAATTTTAGTGTTTTAAATAGCAATACTGACTTCAGTTTGGGCAAATAATTTTTTGGTACAAAGTTTAATTATAAATAATTCTCACAACTGTCATGGCATAACTTTTTTACATTTGAAATCATTGATATGTAGAATTTCCTAAATTGGTCAAATCAGATTTTTAAATTTGGTTGGTTTTAATTTTTATAATGATAATGTCCATGTAAAATATAAGTAGATTTTTAGCTACAACTAGTAATTATACATTTGATTATGTTATTATAGATTGTAAAATAGTAAGATCTAATTTTTTAATTCGGTAAAACTAAAAATATCTATAGTTGAACAAGTGTTGGAATGTAAAAAATTTATTGAAAATGTTAGATGTTCATCTCTGGATTTTAGATGCCCCTACCTTTTCTTGAAAACCAACAAAAAATTCGTTCCTAAATCCTTCCTCACGAGATTATTTTATTTTGGAAAGCCCTGAGACTGTGTTCCTGTGACACAGATGCATTTAAAACAACTAGGGATATTTAATAACATGTATGTATTTTGTTGAGTCAGGTTAGCATTATCACAGAGTGGAGGTCTGCTGATTAATAGCAATTGTAATTACTTGGGGTGTTTTAAAGCAATGTCATGTTATTTCTCTACTAATGACATGTCACAGTTGGTTGTGCTTTTTCTTGTCACTTGGGTAATGGCATAGCATTATAAATAACAGTTATAAGTGATAAATTATTTTAAGTCCAGAGTGAGTTTGTTTAAAAGAAATTGACTTACTCTGTTTTCTTTGTTAAAATTAATTTTATTGTGTCTAGAATTTTTTTTTTTAAGGAGTTCACTTAAGCCCATGTTCGTCATTTTAAATCGCCCCATCAATTTAAATGCCATGAACCTTTAACACCTTTGGTATGGAAATAGTGTGGGTTTTCAGACAGATAAGGTTACTGAGACTCCAAGTAGATAGTACATAAAAGTATCCTAGGTACAATCATCAGGGGAATCCAGTTTGACTACTTATTTCCAAATGTCTGTTCTGGACATTTGTGGCTGTATATCCATAACTAGAACATCTTCACACCTTGATGGTATAACCCTAAGTCCTTTTGATGTACATATGAATTTAAGAAGTTCCAGCTTGAAGTTTCCAGTGCTAACCTTTCCCTTTTAGAGAATCATTTAAGAATCCCTTTTAATATAATTTTCCATGCCTCACTTCCTGTTAGCTGTTACACAATGTAATTACCTCTCCTTGGTGATGACTTGATTAAGTGTTCATAGGAAAAAAGGATATATTCCGTGCAAAAAGAACTATTTATCCAATTTATATTTTGCCAACTTATATACTGCGGGTGAGTAGGAAATGTTCCGTATATCAAGCTGTTTCGTATCAAAAACAGTTCTTAGCTCACATAATCTGTTTAAGGTTGTGCTACTACCAGAATCTCACTTGATCTTTATAAATAATTTAAAATTGAGAAACCATGAATAGGGTTTATTTTTATGCTTAGAATTGGGCTTGCTTTTTATAGGGAGAGAATTTGGATTTTTGGTTACTTAGTCTCATATTTCAATGACACTATTTTGGCATATGTTGTGATTATAATTATAAATAAAGGTACTTTGTGATCTTACTTTCTGGGGCTCAGATGAAGATAACATTTTTGAATTCTAGAGATACAGTTGATGGAAGGATGGATTACATGAACTTTCAGAATCCTTTGCCACTTTATCTTTCTGAAGAACAGTCATTGTTGACTAATGTTGTAAATCTGAGATGCATCACTCTCTTTTTTCCCAAGAAAAATATTGTTCATCCTGGTGAACATTTATCACAGATCATAGTACCATTACATAATTTTTCTTTACTACATTCTTCTCATTGTATCTCCAGCCAACTCATGCATTCCTTCCACCTTCATGAGCCTATCATTTAAAACATACTGGTATTTATATATGTAAAATTTGTAGTATATACTTTACTGTAGTCTCATTCTTCAATTTTTTTTTTTTAACATTTGTAGGAATAATTCCATGGCACTTTACTAGTCTTAAAAAATTATTTTGCTTCTTAGTATTAGAGCTCTGATTTTATTTTTCTTTTGTGTTTCTTAGTTCTAATAGGCTGGTGAAAAAGATAATTTTTAAGATTTCTATCTCCTTGTTTTGTATTGAAGTGTTAGTGTTTTCTTAGAATACATTTTTAGAAGTGGTTATGAGTGCTAGTCTTTATTTGCTTGCATTTTCATGTTTAGTGGTTTTTCTTTCAAAACTTCAGTTATTAAGTTGAAGCTCTGCTATGTCCAAGGCACTCTGTTTGGTATACTTTGGATTTTATTGCCCCAGAGTGAGCATGTGAATGAAAGCAGATGGATCTGTAGAAAGAGCCCAGATAAAAGACTGTAGTTGAGGGAGCAGTGGTGCATGGATTTAGGACAGGAGCAGTGGTGAGGCAGTGTGATTGGCGAGAGCTTTCCAAGTGACTGCCTCCTAGACTGATGTTCACCCAGCAGAAATCACTGGTTGTAATATGAGTATAAAAATGACAAGTGTATGGAATTGTATATATTTTTTTAAAAGACTTTTAAAATTGATTAGTTAATATGTGTAAATTTATTTAAACATTAGATTCTTTTAGTAAGTCTTAAAATAATTTCAGGGAAAGGTTTAATAAACCTTATTTAAAATTTTGTGTATAAAGCAATTAGAAATAATTCCATCAGAAAACATGGAATTAATTCTGCTATTCCCCATTTTTATATCCTGTAATTAAGTAAAACAACTTGGCTTTTAATTTAATACCTTTATGTGTTTTTTTGCCCTAAAATTGTTTTTTGAAGGGTATAGATTGCATAAATTTTGATATCATAGCATTTGCTGTAATATTTCTTTTTACCTAGTGTGAAACCCAAAACTGGAATTCCTAATCTATTTTTATCGTGCTCATTTTATTTTCTTGACAGCAGAGGCCCTTACTGCTTAATTTGCTGGCCGTATATGTCTCAACTGAAGTAATTTAAAAGGGAATCGGCTCTATTCTTGAACTAAAATAAATGTTTGCAATCGATGCCTGTCTCAGTCACAGGTCATGTGAGACTCCAGAGTGTAGAAGTCTCAAATGTGAGCTGCAGGGCTCAAATGATTTACCTTTGGGATTATAGGCTTTTAAGCATAATTTCTTACTACAGACATTTCTAGAAACAAAACAGGATTATAAATCAGATAGGTGCTGATCAGTGACTTTCTTAGAAAAACCATACTCCATGTCGCTTCATTTTTATATGTAACTGTAGCTTTTACATTCACCTGTTTTGGTTATTTTTCTCCCTGTTTTAACATAGCATTTTAACATTTAACACAGTAGACTCCCTTTACTACAGGTTGTCAGGCTCTAGATTCCAGGCCCTATTTGAAGGAGCAAAACATCATGTTCAGCTTCTATTAGCTTTAATTATCAGTTGAAGTCTTGAAATGATAACGCGTGTCAAGACAAAAATGTGTACATCTTTAAGAATTTAGACCTTATCTGACTTTCAGTAATTTTCTTTGTGTGTTGTTGGCATTTCTATTTTTTCTTGTTTTTTTTTTTAGGACAAAAAAAATAAATTTAGCTTTCCAAGCAAACTAGCAATATGTGATAAAATAACAAATCCTAGAAATTTTTATATTTTCAGTCTATCTTATAAACAATGCTTTTCTCTCTCTACTCTAGGACAAAGTACGAACAGAAAGTTACCGAGATTTTATATACCAAAATCCACATATCTTCAAAGACAAGGTGAGTAGCATAGGCTATAGAATTGTACATTTCATGTGGATCTTGGGCAGTAGAAGTCCTCTCTTGGGGTCTCATTGTGCTAGCAGTTGATTTAGTGTACTCTGGCTTTATTTCATGGAAGACTTTTATGATGCTTCTCTGTGGTGCAGAATCCTGATAGCAGAAATGCTGATTGGTGCTGCCATTCAGTGTATAGATTTTTTAAATTGAAATTCATTAATTACAGTGACATGGTTTAGTTAAACTTTGCTTATCCAGATTATTTTGTTTAAACCATACTGTTGATTTACTGTGATTCCTATGAATTTCAAATGTATCAGATAAGCCCTGTACCAAAGCATACTTTTAGTGATTACTCTGGTGTGTGTTAACTAGTTAAAAATAATTTTAAGAAGTTATTATTAATAAGTAGGGTCAAATATTGTAAGGTAGAACTTAGGTTCTTTCTTTTAAGACCTCATTTACCCCTTTATGAGACACTTTGTATTTTACAGTTAGTCTTAATATCATTTCAGGGTATTTCAAAGATGAAATTTCACACTGTGTGTGTGTGTGTGTCTGTGTGTGTGTGTTTGATATTTGTGTCATTTTTCTTTCCTCCCTTATGAATTGTTTTCATTTTTTCTTCTTCACTTCCTCCTTCCCTCCCATTCTACGTTGGCATGTTTACCTAAAAGTTCAGATTTTCTGTTTGTTCTTTCTTACTGGAAATTAGTCCACTAATTTAGTCAAAGATATTATCATTTCTGCCACATATATACCTCTGGGAATTTTTCCCCACCCTTTCCAGTTCAAGAATATATATACTGACAACATACCAGGTTTTTATAATTCCCCTTTCACCTTCATTTTAAAAGATAGTTCTCCAAGGTTATTTCATAAGCTTTACATGATATTGCAGCAGTGACTAACAATCTTTATATTTTAAAAAATTTCTTTTCCTGATTTGTGTATTGTTTGGAATATAATACAGATTGGCTTTTCATTTTCCTTATCTGTTTCCCAAGAGCTGTGTTTCACTTGTGACTTAGCTGAGTTAGACAGTTGAAATTTATATGGTACTCTGATATCTTCGCCAAAGCATTACCTAACATGAAAGGTTTATGATAATATGTATTTCTTTGTATTTACTGATCCCCTGTTATAGACAAATAGGTGATTTCATTTTTAAAATCTTACTTTTTATCAGTTCTTTGTACATAGCTTTTTTGTGTGCTTTTTATATGTTTTACAGCAGAGACTAAGAATTTTTTTATGTTTGGTTTTTATAATTATACCCAAATGCTGGAACAATTTTTTTAATATGTCTAAGAAACCACTTTGTTTCCCAAGAAGCAAATATGTTACTATTAAAAATTTTGCTTTATATTTATCGTTGGAGTGTACCCAGATTTTTCTTTTATTTTTTCATTAATATGTTGTAGAGAAATTAAGTATGTACTGGCCTGGACATCATTAGTCCTGCCTGGCTTATCAGGAATGAGATATATAATAATTTTAGACAAGTGGGTGGATCTCTTTGGGCCTCATCTGTAAAATGAAATCATTTTAACCCCTTCTGGTTTGAAAATTTTATGATTATTTTAAATTGTAAAAGCAATGGTTTTGAGCCATCTTTTCATAATACTTTTTGATGCAAATACTATAAGAATTTGTTAAGTGAAAGTAAGTTAGAAGTATCTTTTCCAGTATGCTTCTGAATAGACTCTTGTCTTATATAAAAATATACTGAAAAGGCACAAATACTTATAATTAGAAGATTAATCATTGAGAAATTAAGTAATTCTGAATATTTCTATGTATATGGAATGCATCTTAGTGGATTCGTAGACATACACAGTCCTTTCTGCTTCTGGTTTTTAATTTGTAACGGTATTATAGAAATGTTACGTATATATGTTATGCATTTTCAGACAAAATACATGCCCATGGAAAATACATAATGTTTCAGTTATTTTGTGCTTTACTTCTCTTACTGAAGACATTAAATCTGCCGAAGTCAGAAAACAGCTTATAAATAATTTGGGAGTATTTTTCCTTAGCAGTTTCTCTAAAATGCTTTCATTTAAGTTAATCAGTGTGTAATTAGTTTTGCTTAGCATTTACGGCTTCTCAAAAATATACTGCAATGTAAAATATTATACCTATCAATTTTTAATTCCTTAAAAAACACTTTCAGGGTTTAATTTCTGTAATTAACAATATTAAATAATCTAGCACTTTCATATTTTTAAATGATTTGGGATACTTTATTATACTATGGCTACAGATTTAGAAAATTTACTACCATGTATTTAAGTAGCATTTGATAATTTATATATTGCTTTCAAACATGTTGTGTCGTTGTCACTGTATAGTATACCTATAACGAGGCAGGACAGGTATTTATCTCCTTTTGCACATGTAGATATTTGAGACCAAGAGGTTAATTGACTTGCCCTAAAACAGGCAACTAAACCAAAAACAAACACTTTCCTCCTAGTCTAGTGTCCTTAACCTTGTGCCACTGCACTTGAAACACGATTATGTTAAAATAGAATGAATAATTAGGGTGGGATGCATTCGTTGTATTTTAATTGACATTATTTTTCATATTTAGGTCATACGATTTTTGTGTGCCATGATAAAATATGTTCATAAAATTATCTTTTTTAAATGTATGAAATAACTTGTTTTCCTTTGTTTTATTGCCATTGTTTTTGTTTGCTTTTATCTCCATTTGGTAGACAAACTTTATACGATACTAGCTTCTATATCATATTATGTAGTACATAGTAGAGATTTATTTTTCAAAAAGATGCTTATAATGAAAAATGTGTTTCTTCCTTCCTTCTCTTCCTCCATCCCTCCCTTCTTGCCTACTTTCCTTTATTCCTCTCTTAGTATTGTTTGAATTCACAAACCTCCTGTGGAGGCCATATGGTTTCTCAGATTTAATTTAATTTGGGTGGCATTTAATCATGTTTTCACGCACTCATAATTAATTTCTATTTGTAGTCCATTGAAGAAATTCACAGTTAGGTGCCTTCACTATGCTTTTGATTATTATCTACAGTTAAATTGATTCACTTTTTTTCTTTTCCTTTTTTTTCCCTTAGAAAAAGGAATCAAATTCCTTCATTTTATAAAATAATGTTAGTTTATTCTGTCATCATTTTTACCTTCCTTTGATTCTATCAAGTTTTAAGTTTTAGTTTATTACCTAATTTTGAGTAGGTGTAATAAATAATTAATATATAATTAAAAATATTTTTAAAAATATAGCTTTAGAAGCAGATTGGCCTATGTTTGCATGTTAGCTTTACAAATTACCAGCTTTATGATCCTGGACCTGTTCCCTCCCCTCTCTGAAGCTCTCTCATTTGCAGAATGAGGATTAAGTAAGACTTTTTTTTTTTTTTTAAAGATTTTATTTATTTATTTGAGAGAGAGCACATGAGAGGGGGGAGGGTCAGAGGGAGAAGCAGACTCCCTGCTGAGCAGGGAGCCAGATGTGGGACTCGATCCCGGGACTCCAGGATCATGACCTGAGCCGAAGGCAGTCGCTTAACCAACTGAGCCACCCAGGCACCCCATAAGTAAGACTTTTATATATACACACACACACACACACACATATATGCATATGTATATAAATTATGTGTGTGTGTATTTAGGGTTACAAAAGAACACATACTTTAATTGGAGTATATGGTATATATCCCTCTGTACTTAGCTTTCTTCATTCAACAACTTTTCTTAGAGATGATTCCTTAATTAACATTCTTTTAATGGCTTATATGTCCGATGTAAGAATGTCCATAAGTTTTCATTTTTAATACTAGAAACAATTCATATAAAAATATAAAATATTTAAATTTGTTTTTAATATATGTGAGAGTACAATAATAAGTTAAATTCCTAGCAGTGGACTTCCTGGGTCAAAAAAGGTTATTTATACCTTGGATGGTTTTAGTGCTGCCAGCCTGTCTTTCCATAAACGGTGTGTGATTATTGATATTCCCAGTCACCATTGCCAAATACTGTAGTATCAAACTTCTAAATTCCACACTGACTTTTTATTTTTAATTTTTAAATTTTGCAAATATCTTATTTCAGTGTAAGTTTCTGGGAATTTATCACTTATGATTGTGTTATATATTTTTCCACTTTTATTTTATGCCATATAATATTTCAAACTAATGTACTATAAGTGCATATGCTATCTATTATAGTATTTTCTTGCTGTTATGGTTAACACATTTTATTTGTAACTTAAGAAAATGATTTAATTTTGTTTACAATGTCGTATAGTTTCCACCTTAAAATCCTTAACTTTTTTGTATGTTAAAGTAGTTATGTTAAAATGTACTGACTCAACTCTGGACGGGGCACATGTACAGGAAATAGATTCTCCCTCTGAAAGCATATATAGGGCCTTGTCCTTCTTGGAAGGGCACAAGTTAGGAGACACAGAGTAGTAACCTTTTGACAACTTTATTTCTTCAACAAAAATCAGGTTGTTTAGATTTTCTCTCTTTTGGAGTCAGTTCTAGTAAATTATGTTTCCAAGATATAATGGAATGAAGCACTCCACTCGTAACAGTAAACAATACAGAGATAAAATGCATACGAACAAACTTAAATAATGTGCAGGGCTTATATGAAAAAACTTTTTTTAAAAATCTGAAGAACATGATACATGATTTAAACAGTTTGAAAGACTGTGTTCTTGAGTAGGAAAACTCAAATTTTCCATTTTCCCTAAATTAACTTAGAATTTTAGCTCAATCCCCATAAAAATACCAAGACTTTTTTTAAAAAACCTAGACAAGTTTATTCTCTTGTTTTATGAAAAAATAAATATATAAAATTCTCCAGAAACACTGTGAAAAAAATTTTGCAGTGAGGGTGTACCAGCCTTACTAGATACTAAAACATTCTGTAAAGCTTCTGTAATTAGAATAATTACTGGCACATGATGATGTAAACTAATGGAGCAGAATAAAAATCCAAAATATATACAGAAATTTTCCTTAATGCTCAAGGTCCCTGTCTTAGTCCATTCAGGTTGCTGTAACAAAAATACCATGAACTTAGGGGCGCCTGAGTGGTTCCGTCGGTTAAGCGTCTGCCTTCAGCTTAGGTCGTGATTCCGGGGTCCTGGGATTGAGCCCCTCATTGGGCTTCTTGCTCAGCAAGGGAGCCTGCTTCTCCTCTCCCTCTGCCCCTGCTCGTGTGTGCTCTCTCTCTCGCTCACTCTCTCTCTCAAATAAATAAATAAAATCTATAAAAAAAAATACCATGAACTTAGTGGCTTATAAACAACAGAAATCTGTTTGTCACAGTTATAGAGGCTGGGAGGTCCAAGATCATGGCACTGGCTAATTCTGGCGAAGGCCTGCTTTGTGGTTCATAGAAATGCCTTCTTCCTCCAGAGAGGAATCTGTGTGGGGCCACTTTTAGAAGGGTACTAATTCCATTCATGAGGGCTTTGCCCTTATAACCTAATTACCTCCCCCAAACCCTCATTTCTAATACCATCACTTTTGGTTAGGATTTCAACCTACAAATTTTGGAGGGACACAAATACTCAGATCGTAACAGTCACATATCAAATTAGTAGGGGAAACACAGACTGTTTATAGCATGTTGGAACAGTTGATTAGCCATCTGAACAGAAGTACAGTTGAAACCATACCTCTTAGTATATACTATGATAAAAACAAACTTAATGAAACCATAAATGAACTAGAAGGAAATATATGAGGATGAAATAGGGAAGAAGATGGGGAGGGTCAGTCTAATTATGATCAAAATCCAGAAGGAAGCCATAGAAGACATGACTGATGAGATTTACTGTAAGTAAAGAATTTCTACGTTGCAAAAGTCACTGTAAGCTGAATCAAAAGACAAAAATATATGCTGAGAGGAACATTCCAAGTTATATTATAGAGGTCTAATCTACTTCGCTTACAAAAAACTGTTATTTGACAAGATTTATAAGAAAATTTTGATTAGAAATTTGATAAGAAAAAACAACTGGAAAATAGGATATTAAGTACATAGTTTACAAAAAAAAAAGAACCACAGATGGCTCTGCAACATAAGGAATGATGCTAAACCTCATGACAGTGGAATTGCATGTTTTAACTAGACCAATATATCATTATTTTGTACTTGCAAAATTGGCAGAAAGCCAAAAGTTTCATTATATGTTCCATAGGCTAGCCTCAACTGTAAGGCCAATAGCACTTAAAACATTGCTGGTTGGATTGTCCTATGGAAGATAATTTATTTGATTATGTCTGCCACGATTACAAGTATGTATATTCTCTCTGACACAATGTTTTCACTTTTAGGAATATAATCTATAGATTTATTCATGTGTGAATGGGGTTGGGTATAAGGTTATTTATAGCTTTGATTATCATAGTAAAATTTCAGAAACTACCTAAATGTCCATCAGTAAAGAACTAGATCAGTAGATTCTGGTACAGCCATAGTATGGAATCCTATACAACTGTATGAGAGAAAGAAGTTCTGTAAATTGATACAGGAAGATCTCTACATTACATTGTTAGATACAAAAAGCAGTGTGTAGCGAGGGCAGTGGGTATGCTTCCATTTGTGTAGAAAGGGGAAGGAAAAAAATGTATGGTGTTATATTTGCATAGAAAGTCTCTTGAAGGATAAATAAGAAATACAGTTTTTGGTGTGTAAACTATGTGACTATATTACCTAGTTGAAGAATAAAATAATTCTTGAACAATTTAATAAATTCTTAATTCTAGTTCGATTTTTCTTACAGTAGCTTCCCATTACTCAGAATAAAATCCAAAAGTTCTATGGGATATGGCCCTTCTTAACCCCTGACCTCACCTCCAAGCAACCTTTTCTCACCCAGCTTAGCCACATTGGTGTTGCTGTGCTTTGCCTTTAATATCGTCCATGGCCAGAAGACACTCCTCCAGATCTCTGCATGGCATGCTCCTTTATTGCCTTCAGTTCTGTGCTCACATGTGTCAGAAACATATTCACAGACCTATTGAAGATTCTGAAAAGATGTATCCCCTCTTCCCTGCTCTAACCTCTACTCTGATGCTTGATTTTTCTTTATAACACTACTACCTGACATTATTTTGTATTTGTTTATTCATTGGTCTTCTCCACAAGATGGTAAGCTTCATTAAGACAGGGACTTGGTCTTGTTTGGCTATATCCCATGACTGTGATCAGTGCCTGCTCTTAACTGTGAATATTTACAGGAGAATACTGAAATCATTCCATTTTTTGGGATAAGTGCATAGGATTTAGACCATCAATAATGAAAGACTTAAGGCACTACAGTTTTCAATAATTTCACAGAATAGTATATATCTCTTTGTACTTTGCTTAATGTGTGTCCTCAGCAATTTGTTTTTGTTTTTTATTGACAAGCAGGTTTCACTATACTATCCTGGAAATAACATGCAGTTCTTGATTTAGAAATAATTGCTTTTTACCTGTTCCCAATATCATCTTAAACTTTGGTTCTTACTACCTTCACCAATGGTAATGAGTATCATTTTTATTTATTTTTATTTTTTAAAGATTTTATTTATTTATTTGAGAGACAGATATAGTGAGAGAGCACAAGCTGGGAGGAGAGGGAGAAGCAGGCTCCCTGCTGAACAGGGAACCTGTTTCGGGGCTCGATCCAAGGACCCTGGGATCATGACCTGAGCTGAAGGCAGATGCTTAACCAGCTGAGCCACCCAGGTGCCCCAAGTATCATTTTTAAAACTTATATTTTGAAGTTCTGGAAGCCAATTTATTTTTATTGTACCTGTATTGTTTAAATGAGTTGAATATTTAATTTTGGAAATGGAGGGGATATGACAATATTCTACATGTAGGATTCCTTTATAAGCATTTTTTAGTTGTATTGGATCAGGCTATCCTGCTTAAGTTATTTCCTGCCTTTCAAACTTGAGAAAGTTTATTTCTGCTAAAATTTAGAATTACTAAGCCTAAATTAGAGCATGCAGACAGTAGGGAAATTAGAAACAGAATACTTCCCTATTAAATCTGTGGAAATTGCTTATTTCATATAAAACATCTCTTAATTTATATTGTTGCATCTGATTGTAGCAGAATATGGCCAAACATGCTATTGAGAATATGAAACAACTGGCTTAGTCGTTGAACACAAGACTCTTGATCTTGGGGTTGTAGTTCAAGCCCCACGCTGGGCATAGAACTTATGTACACCCCTCAAAAAAAGAACTTAAAACAACCCATTGTAATGATACCTTCAGTTTCTTCAAATAGAAATTACTACCATCGTCGATCTGTAAAATTTTAAAATTTCGTGGTCTGTTCCTTGCCAGTAATGTCAAAATATATGAATGGAACGTAAAATACTAGACCTTCTCAGTAACATCTGTTTTTTTATTACACCAGGTAGTTCTGGATGTTGGTTGTGGAACTGGAATTCTCTCTATGTTTGCAGCTAAAGCTGGGGCAAAGAAGGTTCTTGGAGTTGATCAGTCTGAAATACTTTACCAGGCAATGGATATCATAAGGTAGATGTATTTTAAGGCTTGACTTAAGATAATTTTTAAATATGATGATTTGACAGGTCTTCTTGTCCTTAATAGCTATCTAGTGCAGACTCAAGATGTGTCTTTTAGTAAAAATTCATTCCAGAATAATAAGATTTTAGGTTAGATTGAGCTAGGCATGTTTGAGCTATAAACAATCTTTTCACAGTTCTCATTGATGAGAATTATTTTTATATAATTTCCTCTTTCCAGTTATGGCTATAAATATGCTAATTATAATAATACAAAATTAGAAATCGTTGGCATATAGGGTAATATTGTTAGAAGACTCAACAAAACTGAATATTTATTTCAGTAATGTTTCCTTTAGCAAATAACAATCAGACTAAAGACTAAGGGTTATTTTTTTTTCTTTTTTACAACACTAACCTTTGTGCCTCCTTCAAATTAAAATAAGTAAATTCCGAAATGACTACAAACAAAGCAGAGTGGATTAGTTTATCCCCTAAAACTTAATTTTATTCTCTAAAAATATCTCCTCTCTTTGAGGAATTAAGTTAGGTTAATCGATCAAGGATTGACTTTACAATTGGCTTATGTCGCAGCAAGGCCTTTTATTTGAACTACAGCTTATAGAACTAGATTTCTTTAGCTGTATACTTAACAAAGCACCTTAGACTTGGAACTTAGGAGTAATTTTCAGAGTAAATAACTAATAGGAACTTCTCAGCAATTCTCTCCCCCACGGCCTCCCCCTGCTTTGTTGAGATATAATTGACACATCACATTGTATAAGTTTAAGATAATACAATGTATTACTTCGATACCTTTGTTTATTATAAAATGACTACCACCATAACATTAGCTAACACCTCCATTGCATCATGTAATTACCATTTCTTTTGTGTTGAAAACATTTAAGATCTACTCTCTTAGCAACCTTCAAGTATATAAATACAATATTACTAACTATAATCACCTGCATACATTAAATCCCCAACAAGAGTTCTTAAATGTCCTCCCATTGATACTTACGTTCTGTTCTTAAAATTGGTTAATATTAATTATTTCTTAATAGTGTTAAATATAGTTATGTAAGATGTTTAAACTTTTAGATATTATCGCATAATGTAGAAGTGTAGTGTTGTGGTTCAAAGTGCAAGGTTTGAGTCAGGATTGGTTTGAAACCTCACTCCTACTTACCACTTATTTGAACTTCAGTTAAATTATATCTAACCTCTTTGACACCTGCTATTTCACTGTCAAAATAAAAATAATAATGAATACCTCATATGATTATGAGCAAGGTAAGTTACAAGTAAGATACACATATAAATTTCTTTGGCATATTGCTTGGCACGTAATAGTTACTCAAAAGTTAACTACTATTAACAAGTACCAAATTAATGTTAATGAAAAAATTACATTGATCTTGCTTAGATTTTTCATAGTTCTGGGTTTGTGGTTATTATTTTCATACTGGAGAAAATGGTGTATGTGTTGCATATATATAGGCAACTCTGTAATCTAGTGAAGTTTTTCCTAGTTCTTAGGATACCAGTAAGGACATCATCATCATTTTGGGGTTTCCATAAAGAGCACCCTCACTTGCTTGTGCATTGCCATCCAAACAAATATGAGAACCAGTGTTCTAAACAAGAGATTGTTTTAGAAGAATTATCAAAGACTTATTGTTGATAGGAAGATTATGATAAGATATTTCTATTTGAAGCTCTAATCTTATAAAAGACCATGTACATTTATGTATTAATTTTTATTTTTGGTTTCTACAAAGTGAGACTAGATGTGCTCTCATTTTAATTCCTTTATGGAAGAAAAGGATAGTGATAACACTCATTTTACTTTGTATTGTTTTGTTTTGTTTCATTTTATTTCACATAGAATTCCTAGTGCCTTTTTAGAAATATCTTTATATAATGATTATATTCACATTCATTGTATATAAAATTTACTGCTGCAGTGTATGGAACTTTTGCATAGGGCATTTATTGAGAATGACTTAGCACTCAGTTTTAGGTACTTCATTTTAATAATAAAAATTGCTAACATTAGCACTGTATTGAATTTCCTTTGAGGTAGATATAATTACAGTATATGATTATCCTTATTATAGAGATTAAGAAATTGTGGCAGAGATTAAGTAAATCTCCTTATTTCTTGTGGAGCCAGGATTAGATCCCAGGCAGCCTGACTCCATAGTTCATCTTCACAGCTAATCTACTGCACTGTATCTCCGTTTTACTACTCACAGGGCATGTGTTAGTTGTATTCAGTAATTTGCTTTACTTAGAACCGATAGAGTTTGAAAATCAGACCTTTTTGCTTTAGATAAATTTTGTTTTGGATAAGCCAACATTAAACTGTTTCTTTGGAGATACTGTCCTTTGCCTATTTATATTGTGAGAAAGATAGTTATTTCCATAGTGTCTATAAGCATCTCTCCCTTGTCTTTCGTTTGAAATTTTGAAATTTATACTGTTGGGTAAAAGAACTTCTGTTCTTCTATTTGTGAGTGTCTCTCTAAAAGGATATGCAGGAAACAGTTTACTGTTAATATTCTCACAATTTACTGGCTCATTGTTCTACTGGTTGAGGAGGCAGCATAGCATTTCTCTCAGCATCTAGAATCACATGACTTGGTTTCTGGTTTTGTTTTTGATTAATTAGCTACATAATAATGGGAAAATTACTTCTTTTTTTTTTAAAGATTTTATTTATTTGTTTGACAGAGAGAGGCACAGCGAGAGAGGGAACATAAGCACGGGGAGTGAGAGAGGGAGAAGTAGGCTTCCCGCCGAGCAGGGAGCCCGATGTGGGGCTCGATCCCAGGACCCTGGGATCATGACCCGAGCGGAAGGCAGACGCTTAACGACTGAGCCACCCAGGCGGCCCGGGAAAATTACTTCTTTATTCTCTGGTTTCTTCCTTTATAAAATGAGGTTGATGGTGGTAACTATCTCATAAGTTTGTTATAAGGATTGAATCCATTTATGGTGCTTTACAAAGTGGCTGGCGTGTAATTGCTTACTAAATTTTATCAGTAATTGTAATATTATTAATTAGTAGTAAGAGTGGTATGTTTAGCTTGGTACCAGTGCCTCAAATAATATTTTATGTTTTGTTGGTTATGTTTCTAAAATAATCATTCATTGTAGCTATCCCCCCAAAATATGGTGACTCTGTTTTCTGCATTTTTTTTCAATTATTCATGGTCTCTACTCTCTTATACCATTAAGCTTCAAGCTTTGGCCAGTTTTATTCTGTACTCACCCTTGAAATCTACTCCCAACTTCTCTCTCTCTCTTTTTTTTTTAAGATCTTCTTCTTCTTCTTCTTCTTCTTCTTCTTCTTCTTCTTCTTCTTCTTCTTCTTCTTCTTTTTAGAGAGAGAGAGAGCTCATGCATCCATGGGGGGCGGTTGGGAGAGACAGAAGGAGAGAGAGAGAATCTCAAGCAGACTGCATGCTGAGCACAGAGTCTGACCTGGGGCTGGATCTCATGACCCTGCGATCATGACCTGAGCTGAAGTCAAGAGTCAGACACTCAACTGACTGAGCTACCTAGGCACCCCCTCTCAACTTCTCTTATACTTGTCTATTATTGTATATTGGAGCTTTCTAGAATTATCATCAGTCAGTGAAAACAACTCTTCCAATTAGCAGGCTGTGAGTTGTCTTTGCTCTTCTGAGGCTATTTTGTCAGAGATCTGTACATAGCAGAGTTTCTATAAAATTCTGTAAGCTTATATCTGTAAAAAAGCACTTTAAATTCTAAGAGGGACACTTTTTTTTTTTTAATATTTTATTTATTTGACAGCGAGAGAGGGAACACAAGCAGGGGGTAGTGGGAGAAGGAGAAGCAGGCTTCCTGCGGAGCAGGGAGCCCGATGCAGGGCTCAATCCCAGGACCCTGGGATCGTGACCTGAGCCGAAGGCAGACGCTCAACCAACTGAGCCACCCAGGCGCCCTGAGGGACACTTTTAAAATGCATTTTTCATTACTTTTTTTTTTTTTTAAAGATTTTTTATTTATTTATCTGAGAGAGAGAATGGGAGACAGAGAGCATGAGAGGGGGAGGATCAGAGGGAGAAGCAGACTCCCTGTTGAGCAGGGAGTCCGATGCGGGACTCGATCCCGGGACTCCAGGATCATGACCTGAGCCGAAGGCAGTTGCTTAACCAACTGAGCCACCCAGGCGCCCCAATTTTTCATTACTTTTAAATATATTTAGTTTACAGTCCTTGAATTACGTTCAAAATATGATAAAATAGTTTGTGTTCCTTTATTTAAAAAAGAGATCTAATATTTCTAAAGAAATGAGTTTAGAATGGGGTAAATACTGATTTTAATGTAAACTGACATGTATATTAGGGCATATATATATATGTCACATATAAATATATACATGTTTGGCCTTAAGAAGGTCAAGCTTGCAGTTTTGAGGTTGCAGACATGAATAAAGTAGAATATAGGTTTTCAAAGATGTTGTATTAGCAGGGACAAATAGAACGCAAAGTGAAATATGGAAGGAAGGAAAATTGTTTCTTATTCGTGCTGTTGTACTTTGAACTCTTTAGTGAATGATCATTTTATTTTATTTTTTTGAAGAGATTTTTTTTTTTTATTTGACAGAAAGAGACACTGAGAGAGGGAACACAAGCAGGGGGAGTGGGAGAGGGAGAAGCAGGCTTCCCGCTGCCCAGGAGCCCGATGCGGGGCTCGATCCCAGGACCCTGGGATCGTGACCTGAGCCGAAGGCAGACACTTAACAACTGAGCCCCCCAGGCGCCCCGTGAATGATCATTTTAGAAACATAAACTTACCTAAGGATAGTAGAGCTATTGAATTGCCAGACAATTGTATACTGTATTCACCCTCAGGAAGCAGGGATAGCTTCTGGTAATATTTTTACCATTAGTTGGGCTGCCTTTGGCTTCTCATTGACTCGGCCATGGAATAGCTCATTATTCAGACTTCTGCATATTATTGCAGAGGAACTTT